TATTTTGAAGATAGCTTTGGGGGCACACAAATCAGGCATTTTTAGTCTGAAGTTAGCTGCAAAAATATAAGAAATTATTTATCATAATTTTGTAATGGTTATATTTTAATATTCTCCTTTTTTGCCTTTTTTTTTTTTTTGCTTTAAATCTATGCTTAAAACTTAGTTATCAACCAGTAGTTCTGTAAACCCCTTTTCCTGTGGTTCTCTAGAATATATGTTCTAAATTTGGTATAAAAACCACAGAAGCTATTCAAATTCTTACATTCAATTGTAAGCCTAGTCTAATCATGTAATACAAGCAGCAGTATCAGGAAGTTTTATCTTATGATTATTGTCTACTATTGCCTATATCAGAGAACATTAAAAATGTCTGTGTTAATTTTGTTAGTATTCTTTTTTATCTAATTTTATATTTTCCTTTCCCATTCATTGCATTGTTTATTATTAATAGTATTGCTGTATTTTTTATTTTATTCATAATTTGTATTTGTCATTTCCCCTCTCCCTTATGAATTTGCATGAGTCTCAGCGAAGGTGCTTTTGAAGGACAGGATCTTCATAGTACCATAAAATCTAAACTTTCCATTTTATTTTATGGAAAGTGGAAAGGAAGCTGTGTTGGACAAATTGAATCAACTACTTCTAATGATGTGATAAGTGATATAGTTTTATTTAAATAATTGATGGCAATTGAAACTTTTGTCATTGAACCAGCTGATTGGTACCCATTATATCAGTATTTGAATTTTTTTTTTCTGGTATAGCAGCCTAGCCTGTTTATTTTAATGCAGTTGGTGCAGTTAGAGACAGTGTTTTGTACATATATTTTTCTAATTCCTGATTATAATCTCTGAGAGTGACTCTCATCTTTCCTCTGATCTGTTTTTATAGCACTGTAACTCCACTCATTTTCTGGTATTACTCTTCATTCACCTAGATATCAATGTGTGCTAGGTTAGCTTCCACCTGGCTAATATTTGCCTTATTCAGAGAACTCTGTCACTTTTGCCTCCTCCTTTTACATGGAAATATACTTAATAATTAAATCTATTCTTGTAGGCGGTAATGGTAGCTTGGTTTAATTACAATTTCCATGCTTGATTATATGAGAGAAACTCTGGGGAGTAATACAAATGCTTTTTTCCAAATATCATTAATAAGTCTTTGTGCTGGTTTTGGCTGGGATAGAGTTATTCTTCATAGTAATCAGTATGGGGCTATGTTTTTGGTTTGTGCTGGAAACACACAGTGTTGGTAATACAGGGATGTTTTAATTATTGCTGAGCAGCACTTACACAGAGTCAAGGCCTTTTCTGCCCCACCAGTAAGGAGGCTGGGGGTACACAAGAGGCTGGGAGGGGACACAGCTGGGACAGCTGACCCCAACTGACCAAAGTGATATTCTGTACCATATGACATCATGCTCAGCATATAAAGCTGAGGGAAGAAGCAGGAAGAGGGTGGACGTTTGGGGTTACGGCATCTTGTCTTCCCAGGTAACCATTGTGTGCGATGGAGCCCTGCTTTCCTGGAGATCGCTGAACACCTACCTGCTGATGGGAAGTTGTGAATTAATTCCTTGTTTTGCTTTGCTTGCATGAACGGCTTTTGCTTTACTTATTGAACTGTCTATCTCAACCCACGAGTTTTCTCACTTTTACTTTTCCAATTCTCTCCTTTATCCCACCGGGGGGGAGTGAATGAGCAGCTGTATGGTGCTTACTGTCAACTGGGGTTAAACCATGACAGTCATCTTTTCTTTTTTTTTTCTTTTTTTTTTTTTTTTTTTTTAGTGCAATGTAATTATTCCTGTATTGGAAATTATTATAAACAATGTGAAAGGAAACTTCCAAACAAGATGAGTTCAGTGTTGTTACTGCTGATTTAGCCAGAGGAAGTCTCCCTATGAGGGTCTTCTGCCTGGTGTGACTGAAATACTGATCTAATTCCACATTGACTGGCCTTTTGTAGGCCGAGATTCCTTTGGCTAGGCCTTTTTGCTGGCTACCATGATCTTGAATTAACAGCTTGCACTACATGGCTTAGATAAAGCACAAGGTGTTCTCAGTAGCGTACCACAAGGGATGTGTGATGGCACATTTCAGAAGGAGGCACTGGGGACAGAGGATGTCCAGCATAACATCTACAGTACAGAATCTTGTAGTAGGGGAAGGAAGTAGGTGTGGACCAGGTAAAATGCAGGAGAGTTACTGGGCTTCTCACATAAAATGATGGGTTCTGTGCTGATGACAGCCTCTGTAGAGCATGTTCTTGGGATTCTGAGTGAGACATCCACGAGAACGTGGATCAGTAGCACTCAAAAATGCAAATGAAGTGATAGGGTTGTTAAGAAAGGCATAAAGAACAAAATAATCCCCAGCCTTATAACACTGTATAAATGTTTTATCTTCCACGCGCACTTGAAATAAATAGGAAAAAAAGAAAAAAAATACAGGAAGGATGCTGAACTAAGAACAAGGGAATGCATGGAGAGTGCTTAGTGTATGTGTCATTGAGGGACAGCAGCAGCTGTCCTCAGCAACAGTTTGTTTGTATTGGACAACCCCAGTTCTTTACTATATTTTAAACTTGTGAGTTTTTCCTCCCATTTTTGTCAAAAAAAGAGAATACACACCATCGGCTACTGTGTCTCTGCGTGACTTGTGATAATTGATTAAATTCTCTCTGCTTCCTAGATTTTCTTAAACATGACTATGGACCATGTGTTTTTCCCAATCAATTTTCATCTACTTGATGACCATGAGAGACAATTTGCAGCTCCAGTAAGCACCTAGAGACTATAGGGTCTATGCTATTCTATACAAGCTGAACATCCACCTAATGAGTTATTCCACTGTATTGGGATTTGTTTAAATGAATGCTTTAAAAGTAGTGTTTGGCATCTGTCTTGGGTCAGGGCCACCACCACGTGGTCGCTCCTTTCCCTCCCCCACCCACCTTTCACCCACCTTTCCCCCTCCCAGTAAGATGGGGAAAGGATTTTAAAAAAAAAAGTGGAACCTCATGAGTTGAGGTAACGACATATTTTAATAATACAACACGAGAAAAAGGAGAATATAAGACAAGATATAGAATACAATGGAAACCTTCTCACCCCCGAGAGCTTCACAAAGACCCCCACCCCTCTCCCAGCTAGCTTCCCCTTATATCTTGGGCAAGACATCAGCATGGTATCGAATATCCCTTTGGCTATGCCCACTTCCCAGCTTCTCTGAAAGATTAACCCTATCCCAGCTGAACCCAGGACAGCATCACTTAAAGGACTGTGTAGATACAGTGAAAGGAAGAAGTTCTGTATTGCTGTGAAATCACCCTTTCTCCTCTTCTTGTGTCCCAGAGTTTAAATATGAGCATCTGCTGTTGAGCGTAGTTTCAACATGATTGTTTTTCTCACAATAGTAAGCACCTGGATTTATAGCAATTATTTCTAACATCAGTACCTGTGATTCTGGAAGCTTATGATGGCTACCGTTGCAGTTACATTTTCAGGCCAGTCTCTGTGTAAGTTTTCAGATGGCCATAGTAAGTGGACTTTCTGCCTGCAATTTGTTGCTCTTAAACTTTTTGAAAGTTCATCTTTGTGTGTTCACTTTTTGCTTCTCCCAAAGCCACTTGTCTGGATAAGAATGTCTTGTCTTCTACTACCTGAAGCATCTGGTCTTTTACTTAGAGTAGATAACCTAATTCTGTCAAGGAATGGAAGCAGTACTCAGGAACTGAAGTGATCTATCAATGTAAACCAACATTGCTCAGCAGTCATTTAATACCCAGCTAATCAGTGTTCCATATGAACTGTGAGCCTGCTGAAGCTACAGTTCAGCAAATACATTAACCTGGTGCTGCTGCTGAGGTAGTTGCTCCTGCTCTGCTCTTTTCCTGACCTTTCATAATCCCAGCTGTAGAAAGTATTTTCTGCTTTTGTTTTGAACCTGGGCCTTAAGGTTACATTCAAAACGAAGTTTAGTACATCACCAGTATTGTGGAGTGTGAACAGACTGGCAGAGCTGGTAAGGACAGATTTTAGTTTGGGTCAGCTCTGCTTGTTGGGATGTGCAAAATGAGAGTTCTAACAAAATCCTCCATTGTGTATCAGATCTGGAGGTTTGAACTGGTATCATTGTAATGCTCCTAGTACATTTTACAGCCCTTAAAATGCATACTTAAAAAAAAAAAAAAAAAAAAAAAAAAAGCTTTTATATCCTCAGGTCAGCAGTGCCTTCCCTAATATGAAGTGGACTAATTTTAGTCTATTTGACCTTTGTTCTGTCATCTTAATTTGCTCACTTAGCCAGGGAGAAGCAGGTAGAGCTTCTTTACATGCCAGAAACCACTGCCATCTGCTGTTATCTGTTTCACAAGGAAGGTGTTTCTTTCCTTTGTATATACTTTGGAGAGTGAATATAAAAGTGAATAAAAAAGCTCTAATTCACACTTCTTGGCAGATTTAGCTGAGATGGCAAAAAGTTTACTGCTTGTTGATATTACTGGGGATGGCGTGGTTCATCAGCTGCCAGATTTAGATCTAACAGATTTTAGGCAGAACTCTGAATCGCTCTATGTAGGACTTGTCATTGTGGGAAATTGTCTAAAGTAGCAGTTGTGAATATCAACCAAGTACTGCTAATCTGCTCTGTAAACACCTTTTTTGTGATTTGTCCTGGTGCATTTTTGAACTCAATGAAATTCAGTCACAGAGTGGAATGGCTTTGCTTTTGTGTGATATTATGATGTCTGTACACAGAGCAGTGGAAGAGCACCATATGATTTATTCAAATGTTGGCTTTGGTAGAAATAGCTTCCTTATTCAACTAAACTCTAAGACTTGAAAGCCTCAAAACCAAGATGCCTCAGTTATAATACTTCCTATTCTGTTTTTTTCCATCCCAGTTAGAGAAGCAATGTACGGAACTTCTCAGTGGCAAAGAAGAAACCAAAGTAGAGAACACCAAGCTGAAACTGACTAACCAGGAACTGCTGAGAGACCTGGAGAGAACATCTTATGAACTAAGCCTGGCTCAACAGGAGTTACAGGTGCTTCAGGAGGAGGCATCAAGACTACATGAGGAGAAGAAGATGTGAGTCTGCAGCTGCAGTGGTTCTAGTGCATTTGCTTAGGGTGCCAGTGAGCCTCCTTCTCAAGGATATTCAATGCTGTGGTTTAAGTTTGTGTCAGAAACAGAAACCACCAGCAAAGCCAAGTACAGTGCTAGTCATTTTTCTCCGAGTAATTCAGCATATTTTCTGTAGCATATCTAGCTTCTACTGAATCTTATTGCTACTTATTCAAAATGTCAGTGTTCACCCAACCCCCACTTCCCATTTGTTGAGAGTGCTTAGAATTAAAAAATCAGTTTAATTGATTAAAAAGTATGTCTTTGTTTTGAAATACCAGTGGGATTCCTTACAAAAATTACAGTTGTGGCACATGATCCTCTGCAAAGCTAAGTCTGTCTGAAACTTGCTTCTCAGAATGTACTCTGGCTATGAGATGGCTAGGATGTCCTTCATTTCTTCATCAAAAGCAAGACCAGTACATAATTTCTGACCAAGAAGCCTGGCCAGCAGGATAAAACATAGTTTATGCCACTAAATCACAATTCACACAAGGTCCTGTGGTGATCCAGAACCCTTATTTTGGGGTTTCCAGTTCAAATGTTTTGGATTTCAGATTCTGACTCTGAATTAAAAAATATTTTTCAAGAATAAATATTTACAGTTCATGTTTTGAAGGATAGAAATGGCCTTTAAGTGACAGATCAATCTACCTGTCTTGCTCCAGCCTTCTGCACAAAGCAAAAATCACATTACCCTGAAGCTGTAATTGTCAGAAATGTTCGCTGAAGTCTATTTAATGGAAGGTAGTTTAAAAAAAAATGCTCAGGGATCTATAAAACCCTCTTGTTGCCAGTGGAGAGCACATGGATGCCAGACTGTGGTGCACATCTTGCCAGACTCTATACATTTCATCAATGAACTATGTAACTCAGAGCTGAGGCTATTTGGCATATTTCAGGATAGATCAGAATATTAGATCAAACGTCATATTATTTTTCTGTTGAGCTTCGTGACAAACTTTACTTAGTTAGTACTAATTTAATTTTTCTTGAGGTTATAAATAATGAACTTTGTTGATAAATTATTGTTAAAGAATCATCGCTGCATTTATAACACTCATTTTAGCTTTGCGTGTTTGATGTGTGGTTTGGAAGTAGACAGTAGAAATACTCCTCCTCGAGGTGGTTTGTTTCCTCTTTGAGGCCTCTCTTTTCAGATACAGAGCAAAGACTGTGTAATGATCTGGTTTTAAAGCTACAGAGGAAATCTGCTTAGAGGTCAGACTGCCGAATAGTGCATTTACCAAGTACTGTGGATTCAACAGTGTTTTATGGAATTAGAGATCAACCCTACTCAACTGCACCTGCAGTGTTGCTTTAAACATCTGTATCAGTCTGGTAAGACCTGAGCAGCTGTTGAAGCGGGTGTGATGGTCAGACTGTGCACAGGAAGACCTTGAGGCTCCACTGAAAGGGAAAAAACATTTAAGGCCAGACACCAAGTTACATTAAATCAAAGTAAATAGTGTAAATCTAGTGTAAAAATCTGAGATGCTGTGTCCAGCGTTCAAGGCTGCATAACTGTTAGTCAGGAACTGAAAAGAAACTGTAGGGAGTGTAGATGTGTGAGCTTGACGTATGGTTCCAGCAGCAAGATAGATTCTAATTTTGGATAAAATGTTACATGGTCTTCAGTGGCCATGAGAAGGATTTCAGCAGTATGTCTTCTCTGAATGATGCAAGTGTCAGTATCAGCGTATATTAAGCTCTTTGGATGAAAAAATTATAAAGCTATAATAAGCTATAATAAAGCTATATATTTTTTTTTAAATAATCTGTAGTCCTTCCTCTGCTAACTCAAACTTCTGTGGTATTGTGGGCTTTATGCTGAATGAACTTTTTTATAATTAGTAACCATTCATGCAGAATAAAGTCTACAGGTTTTGAGAAGCTGAAGTCTAAAATGTGGATATTCCTAGGAGGAAGCATTTTAGCAATGTTGTTACCATCATTGGAACAATTTAATTTATTTATTTTCCTTACAGGGAGGTGTACAGAAGTCTTACAGAGAGAGAAGTCAGGACTTCTGAAGCAGGTGGATTTTTTACAGTAATGCAGACCTTAATTTCAAGAACTTATCGTATCATTCTAAAGAGGCACATTATAGGATGAAATTATGTGGGGATATGTACTGGGTGTAGGTGTCCCGATTCTTCCCCTGTTGAGGAGGGGGAGTGAGACAGCAGCTGGGTACACATCCGGCAGCCAGCCAAGGACAACCTGCCACAGGATAGTGACAAAAAAGATAGCAAAATTTTGTCTTTTGTAAGCCCCACTCTTGCCCACAGTAGAAGGCAGTACACATGAAAGATTTCCTTTGTTTTGGCAATTCAGTGTTGTAGGACAATCTCCGTTCCAAAAGTCCAATGTAAACCAAAACAACGATGAATTGTTCTAAGCCACTTCTGTGGTAGAAGCCTGGCCACAGGAGACTTGAACCTTACTAAAAGGCTCTGTTGGTTCCAAAGTGATGGGAGTACAGCCAAAATGAAGACTCTTTTCCCAAAGTATTTATTTGTAAAATTATATCAAAACATAGTTAGCAAATTTTCTCTGTAACATTTCTGTATGAATAAACTTTATTAATTAAGAAGTAATAGATTAATATATTAATTAATTAATTTGGAGTTGTGTTCAGACAATTGTAACCCTCTTTTTAATGTGCAGCAATGTTAGTTTTTGTTTACTCAATGGTAAGTTTGCATAGGCTATAGATTTTAGTTGCCTGTAAGCCTTCATTCACTGCATTTCCTTCAGGAGGCCTCATTTTAAAGTTACGTGAAAAGCTCCCGTGCTTGAGGAAGGGCTCTTAACTTTACAGTGTGTTTCCCAAAGTACACTCCATGTGGTGTGATTTTGTCTGCTGCTGGTAATAGTGCTGTAGATGGAAACATCTCACAGCAGAGGTTGTTTCTGTTCACCAAGGCTGTAATGGCTGCTCAGTCTTTTTTGTGGCCAGGCCAGCAATAGATGGACACAATGAATGATGTACGAAGCAGGTGTGTTATCAATCTCAATAGAACTGGCTGATTGCTGGGAGTCTCCATTTCTTGACATTTTCATCTCTTCTGCATAATGAATGGAAGATGGATGTTTTCCTAGGGAGACTTCTCCATGGCAGCCACAACTGTAGCCATAAGAGTGACATAACTGGCCATCACAGCTGTCACCAGATGAATAGAGATGATGTTCATTACACCCTCTCCACATTAACGGGTCAGCTTTACTGTGAAATGCTTTAAACATTCTAATTTAGAGTAAGCAAAGGCATATTGACCAGAACTGATTTAATGTGTTAAGGCATTTATTTTGATAAACTCCAGAGTGAGCGCCAGATGCCAGCTAGCTTTAATCAGCATAGCCCTACCGGAGATTCAGTGGCCCAGACAGGGAACTGGCTGTGGTGAAAATATAAATAAAGCATGATCAAGGGTGGAAATATGCCAAATTAAAGTGCATTTGTCTTGCCTTTTACACTGCCAACTATCCAGTCTATCTATTAGTGTTGAGTAGAAAAGTCAGTAGCTCTAAATACTTGGCCTTTGTTTCTTTTATTTGTGGAGAGAGGAACAAACGTCTCAAAGATGAATGTAACATATTTTTACAGGTAAGCAACTATTCTTTTCAAACCCAATGTTGAGCAAACGTATCAGAACAGCCTCAAAAAAAGGGGATCAGAAGTCTGTGCAGGAGACAAATTCTTGTGCTACTTTAATCTTGCCCCATTCTTAACTTATATAGTTTTTTTCTCACTTGAGAATAATATTTTTAAATTTGCTGAACAATTTTAAGAGCTACATTTTTAGAATTACAAAGTTGGTGCTGTCTTGAGGGAGATCAATGTACTTTTTAAGAAGCTAAGGATGCAATCATGAGAAGACAAAATAACCTAAAAATTGAACAATTAAATTGTGTTAATCTGTTCAGTCAAGAGGAGCTAATATCCTGAAATGTTTATACAACAGTACAATATCTGAGTACCTGAATCAGTATCTGAATACCTATCGGTACTGGCTAGGAGCAGATCACATTAACTTTTTATCCAGGAGCAGAGAATGGGCCCCTAAGCAGTTCCAGAAGTACTCTGGCTTGAGGAGACTAAGTTAACACTTGTTTGTGTTCTTATTCTTATAAGAAGCTGCCGGTGTAAATCACCATATATCTATTGACTTCTTTCCATGATATTATGCTGTTTTATTGTGGTCCACTTAGTTTACAAATAAGATGAATTCTTGCAGGATCTGAAGTTTCCATATTCTGATTGTTTATCAATCAGGATTTTGAAGCATTTACACCTCTAGGATTTTTTCTACAATTTTTTCTTTCATATTCATTGCATTATTTAACCATTAGGAATGAAGGCAGTTAACCTTAATGAACAACAGGAGTAAATTAGTAAGAGGTATTTTGTATTTCTGCAGAAATACATAGAGGACAAGATGCTGCCTAACAGGTAAGAACTTTTTTTCATGTGTTCCCTGTTTGAGTATGATGAGGCTTAAAGAAAAAAGATGTGGAATGTTTTCCTTCTGATACCTTCGGACTTTTCAAAGCATGTATTTCTAAAGTGTCTGTCGCTATAAGATTACTGTGCTCTTTAAGAAATTTTGAAATAAAGAGGCAAATTTTCACATGTGCTGTCTGCAAAGGCAAGAGACTTCCCCCTTGTGGATGTGTATATGCTGGGAGGCCCAAAAGCTTGCCCTGTGTTGATGTGGTACAATGTTCTTGGTAAGTCCCTGAAAGAGTATACCTCTTCCCCTCTCATTGTAGAGGACAGCAGTCCTATTGTAAAGTATCGGATGTGGATCCAGTAAAACATGGAGAATTTAATTCTCATCTGTGTGGTTGTAAACTTGAAATTAACAGGAACAAGATGGTGATCTCAGTGAAAGACTAGCATGTTTCCTTTGAGACAAGAGGAGTTAGGGGTTAGAAAGAAGACTAGTAATTGAAATAGCAGCATAAGACAATGTCCCTGCAGGCACAGGGTCATGAAGTGTAAGGAGGGAAAGCTTTCAGAGACACAGTTTAGTAAGTCCAGTACTGACAAGTTGAGCATAGTTGGCAAAAGCAATTACGGCACAAAAATTATGGAAAAATTTAGGTGGGGAGGACCTCTGATGTCTCTAATCCAATCTCTAGTCCAGTCTCCTGCTCAAACAGGGATAACTCCAAAACTAGACAAGGTTGCTCAGGGCCTTATTTAGTTGAGTTTTTGGACATCGGGGTGGAGGTCCCACAGACTCTTTGGGCACCTGTTCCCTTGCTGCACCAGTCTCATGAAGAAATTTTGTTCCCTGTATCAAGTCAGCATTTTTCTTATTGCAACTTGCATCTGTGGTCATTGCACACATCTAAGAAGACCATGGATCTATTTTATCTACACTTCCCTTTCTGTTGAATCCCCATTTAGCCTTTTTTTTAATCCACATTAAACAAACCCATCTCTCTCTTACTTGCTAAAGAGAGAATTAGATTACACATAGAAATGGTCTGAGTTGGGAAGTTATTTCAGAATAGAGGGGGGAGGGCAGTAGGAAGTCGCAGTAGAGAAATTTACTTTAGCTGTTCCATGAGGTTAGAAATTAGGTTAATCTTAATTTTTTGTATTCTAGTTCAGGGTTTCCCCATAAATTATGGCTTTCCCCAAGATGCTTATAATTATCAAGCATGCTATATATGCATACACATTGTATGATAAGCTGACTTTTCAGCAGAGGTTGGACTGAAACTACTATGCCTGCTGTGAGTTGTAAAAAATTAAATTCAGTTACACTAAAATGAAACAACAGGAATCCAGGTCCAAGATACTTTTGTGGTGTACTTACTTTTTTCTCTGTCTAGCCATTAACTTGACGAAGATGATGTTTCTGATAACTCAAAGAGAAGGAATTCTGCTGGACTGAATGGAATTCTCTCTGTAGAGCCTGATGCTGGAGCCACTGGAGGAATGTCTAAAGCATTGCATCTCAAAAGAATAATATCAATTGAGGAAGATCACCTACCCCAGCTTCCTGACAGGCTGGTTGATAAGCAGCTGAACAGGTGGCCTGTAGAAGATGACAATGTTTCTTCTGAGGTGGAAGTGGATAAGAAAAACAGAACAATGCAGTGCTCACCATCATCTTCTGGAGGGCAGCCTGTAGGGAAGGAAACGCTGTCAAGTGTAAGGGGGCAAAGGGGACCTCACCTGGAGTATTGTATGCAGTTCCGGGCCTCACAATTTAAGAAGCATGTTAAGGTACTTGACTGTGTCTAGAGGACGGCATCAAAGCTGGTGAAAGGGCTGGAAGGCATGTCCTGTGAGGAGCAGCCAAGGACTCTGGGTTTGTCTAGTTTGGAGAAAGGGAAGCTGAAGGGTGATCTCACTGCTCTCTACAGCTTCCTGAGGAGAGGAAGTAGCGAGAGAGGTGCTGATCTCTTCTCCGTGCTATCCAGTGCCAGGACGTGGGAATGGTTCAACGCTGTGTCAGGGAAGGTTCAGATTTGATGTTAGGAAATGTTTCTTTACCAAGAAGGTGGACAGACACTGGAACGGCCTTCCTAGAGAGGTGGTCAATGCCTCATGCCTGTCAGTGTTTAAGAGGCTTTTGGACAATGCCCTTAATAATATGCTTTAACTTGGTGAGCCCTGAAGCCAAGCAGTTGGACTAGATGATTGTTGCAGGTGCCTTCCAACTGGAACTATTCTATTCTATCCTATTCTATTCTATTCTATCCTAAAGGCCCTTGGAAAACATGAAATAGTGTTGAAGGGTAATAAGTTATTCTTAGAATCTAAAATTATTTATTTTCTGGTTTTAAGTTACAGCATGACTGTCCTGGCTCCAGCTGGGATAGGGTTAATTCTTCACAGAAGCTGGGAGTTGGGCATAGCCAGATATTCGATACCATGCTGACGTCATGCCCGGGATATAAGGGGAAGCTAGCCGGGAGAGGGGTCTCTTTTGTGAAGCTCGTGGTGGTGAGAATTTCATTGTATCAGTGTTTCCATTGTATTCTATATCTTGTCTTATTGTCATATTCTCCTTTCTTTTGTTCTCCTCGTGGGGTATAATTAAAGATCTGTCGTTATCTCAACTCACGAGGTTACACTTTTTTTTCCTTCTTATCCTTCCCCATCTTACCTGGAGGAGAGGGGGGGAGGGTGCGACCACGTGGTGGTGGTACTGACCCAAGACAATGACAAATTAAGCCATTGCATGAAGAGGGATATGGAAATATACTGCAGATAAATGTTGAAGGTGCAAAGAAGGGAAACTCAACCTAAAGGAGTGGTAACTGCAGACAATGTGTGTATAGGTTTATGTCTGAAAGATTGTTTAGGAAAAGTGAAGTTAAGCCTTGTAATAGATAACACAATAAGATCCACTGAAAGGCAGCAATTGTCTAAAAAAAGAAGCAACTCTCTTTTTTTTGAAATGTTGGGGGTTTTTAATTCCAAAAAGTGATATTTCTCATGTTCTGATGCTTTTGAGTCAGCTTTGGTAGCTGTTACACTATGTAAGAAATAATGAGAACAAATATCTTTGCTTTTTATTTTTTTTAGAAGACTTTTAATGAACAAATAAAAATTCATACGTTTTTTCCAGCTTTAGCTTGTATGTTTATGTTGACAATTAATCTGTTACACTATGTAAGAAATAATGAGAACAAATATCTTTGCTTTTTATTTTTTTTAGAAGACTTTTAATGAACAAATAAAAATTCATACTTTTTTCCAGCTTTAGCTTGTATGATTATGTTAACAATTAATTCACCATACAGTAATAATCCTTAAAATAATATGCTGGAAGGTACCTTTATTTGGAGTCGAAAGTCCTTCTTGCACTGCTATTGTTTCAGGGCTAGCTGTGCTTGTTTTCTAAATGTTATTGTTATTGTTCAGGTATTACTTATTTTTAGATTCTTGAAGCACATATTAAAAAGATTAAAGTGTAGGAAAAATATGTATGCTTGGTCATAATTATATAGTTCTTTTAGAAGAAGCAAGCATTCTTAAAAAATGATGACAGAATTATGCCAAGGTTACATAACTTCTAAGTGGTACATTTTAATAAAAAGTATAGAGCACAGAACAGAACTTCAACCTTTGAAATTATTTAATACAATGCATACTTTTTACTTGCTATATAACTTACTTTGCATCACATTTTCCAAGTATGGAATCACTGGACTCTAAGACAGCAAAAGCCAGGTAGGTCATCAGGTCCAGCTAGGACAAACCTGTCCCACCTTCTCTGCTTTGGCATTCATGCCCCTTGAAAGTAGTTCCTCTGAGCTGGGTAGGAACTGGGTATTCCCTCAGATCTTGTTTCTTATAATTTTTTTTCCTAAAAAGCAATTGAGAGCAAGCAGGGAGGGAAGAGAAGAAGTCATAAAATATCTCCTGTCTGGTTGTTGAAAATATTTTGTTTCAGTTTCTAAACAAGCATTGTGAGGGAAAACAAGAAGTTCATTTCCAAAGGTCACTTAGAACTCCATTATTTTTTTCCCTATGAAATGTCAGTGCCTTAGCCCAGCCCTTAATTTGGGTTGGTTTATTGCTTTTTTTAAATAAAAAATAGTTAAAAAAAAAAAACAACACAGCAGAATACTCCTTTCTGATAAACTCTCTGTCCATGTGGCACTGAAATATATGCACAGTCCTGCATGGTCCTCTTGGCCTGCTAACTAGGCGTGCTGATGACTATTCAACTGATGGCATTCCGTTGCTTAGGGCAGTCTCTAGGCTGTGTGTCTGACCACTGCTGCTTTGTGTGAGTAGTGCTTCATCTCCTTCCGTACACCAGCTGTAGTCTGATTAATTTCTCATACAACTTTGCATTTCCTAAGTGACAGATCTTGGAATCACCACGGTGAGATTTAGACATCAGAAATCATCTTGTTCCATACAGTGCTCACAAACAGATTCTCTGTCCGGACAGCATGCCTGGGCTAGAAGGAGTGGTATTCAATTTGTGTTTTCAGGGCAGCTCCGCATATAATCCTCAACTGGGGCTGAAGAAAACTTCAGAAAAATAAAACTGCCTTCTTTCTGCATCATGAGTTATGAGGTGTGAGTGTCAGGGCCATATGTCAACTGGACTGTCTTCTGCAGCCAGTCCTTCTCTTTCCTCATGTCTTGCTGCTCAAAGGATCTGCAAGTATAAGGAAGTGTAGGATCTGGAAATACTTGGGCAAAGGAGGCAGAATGATTCCATGCAGTTGTTACATATGTAGGTCTCTCAGATATGAAGTCTTATAATTCTCTGTTTTGCACGAGTAAGATGAAGGATCTGAGACAAGCTGTATTTTTCAATTAATCACCTTTTGTGTTCCTGTAGCCTACATGGCTTTGTATTACTGCATTCCATGATCTCATTGCATACTATACTGAACTCAGGCTCATAGCTGCTGGCATCAAGCCTTTCTATCACTCATACATTCACAGTCATTTAGCTGCTAATCCTTTATGACCTACTGCATCTTATAGGCGAGTAGAACCAATGTCATTTTTTTTTCTCCTTTTAGAAATGAACAACTCCATTTCCATCCTATAGAAGGTGACTTCTGAAAGTGTCTAAGAATTTGCAGCAGCACATGAGGTCAGCAAAACTGGTGTTTTGTTAACAGTCAGGTAGAACATTTTTCTGAGTGGCAATGAAGACAAAGCTTCAGTTAGCATAAGCAGAAATGTGATTGGGAAAACACCTGAAGGAACCATAATGGAAATTAAAGATTTTCTGTCCAAAACCTCTGCCTGAGATCCAGTTCCTCTCCCCTCTGTTCTTTCAATATGGAATATGAACCACTATGTTTATACCTGCCATCTTCCACATTTGTGTTAAATTGCACAAAAAAATGTAGGTGGGTTATTTGACCTTGCTACTGTTATAGGAAGACCACACAAAAGATACATCTAGGGAAGACTTTTTCAGACTGCAATGCAAACTAAAGTAAATCTACATCCCACTGCTATTCCTTTATCCCATCAGCACTTTGTTGAAGCAGACTATGCAGACTACTAAGCTTATCCCATAGTATAGTGTTCAGATGCAATTTGAGAATCAAGTCTGATTATTAAGGTTATTATCATGAGTGGACTTGATACTTCGCAATGAAAAATGACTGCCTATTATGCTGGGACTTAGCCTGAAGGCCTCTGGTGTCTTTGAGTCTTAGTGCCTACTGAGGTGTGTATGACCACCAAGGACAATGTATTTCAGGTCATGTAGTCCGTGTATTTAGTTGTTGTTCTCAGAAGCACTATGAAAATGGTGCCAAGCTGTTGATTGTATGTTAATTTGTTTTATTTCCCAGAGCATACAGACTAATAAGCTGGGAATGTTTTTCAGTGGAACTGGAAAAAGTGCTTTATATAGATGTATCTATTACTAGGAGCCTATAGTTGTAGTGGAGTTTGGGATTTTAATAAAAAAGGAGAAGTGAACAATAAGATAAGAAATCTTTGTATAGTTATAATGGGCTATTAGCCCAGCTCATGAAAGAGACATGTATTTTTGTCCCCAAAATTTATGGCAGTGAATGAATTTTCCTCATAGTAAGAAAGACAGCAGCTTGAGTTTTTATTAATTTTTCTCCCCATCAAATGCAGCTCTGTATTGTTTCTGCTTCTTTCTGTAAAGCTTCAGTATATTTGTAGAAAACATTTGCAAGGCCAGACTTCAATGTCCCATTTAAAGAACTGTCAGGCGGTGAGTTCAGTTCTGATGTCTCCTTGAAGTCAGCATTCTCAGGGATTCTGTACCTCAGATGCCTGGTAGAGGAGGGCCTTTCCCTCGCTCGGTCCCCTTCCCTCCTCACAACCCCCTCCTAACAAACTAGTGAGAGAAGCACCAATGATCTTCCTCCCCTTCTGCAGCATTTAAGAACAAACTCCCTATCTCCCTCTTCCTCCCTGACCTTTGCACAAAACAGGAGAGGAGGAGAGCTAGGGCAACCCCTGCAAATGAGCTGGTGCTACAGTGTTCTTCCCTAAGCAACTCCTGATCTACATACAAAGGTCTTGGGAATAATGACCTACTCAACAGAAGATACGAATATTCTCTCCAGCATCCACTTAGCTTAGTCTGCAGTAAACAGGCTGTGGATAGGCAGAACAAATTGTTCTTCTTCCTGCTTAAAAAACTAAATGACAGAAACATAACGGAATGTTTACAGCCTGATTAACTGGGTCTAGTTCTACCTCTGTGTGTCTCTTTCCGTAATGCTTCTGCCTGTAATGCTAAACAGGTGTAGAAGTGCAGTAATTCCATGGAAGCTCTTGGCTCTCCAGGAGTAGCAGAGAGAAGAATCTGGTGATAGATGGCATAAGCCAGAAAATAGTTACTTTCCTTCTTTTATCTAGGTGAAGATGTGCTGTTTCCTCTGTGTCATTCATATAGGATGAAACTAATGACCAGAGCTGTGTGGAGCTTTATGGGTTTTGATTTGCAGGGTGGAACATAAACTGTTTTCTTTTGGTCATTTCATGCGTTTTTCAATGCAGTCTCGTGTCAAGATTCATGTTCAATATACTTCCAGAGCTCAGTCCAAATCACTGCACTTCAGATCATCTGGAACAATGCATGGCAAACATCTGAAATACTGAGTTATTTTAAAAAATGGAATATTACCTTATGAGTAATGGAGAACATGATAAGATAAAATATCTTCTTTTTCCCATCTCAGCCTTCAAGACAAGGCAAATTGGAGAGGCAACAGGATTTATAGAACAGTTGGAGACTAAAGTTTGCTCTTACTTGAAGGAGGAGATAATAAGCTCTGTCCCAGACCACTTATTCAAGATTATTTTTGTGGGCAATTCGAGTGTTGGAAAGACTTAATTCTTAAGGTGATTTTGTGAAGATCATTTTTTCCCAGGCACAGCTGCTACTGTAGGTAAGTTTAAGAAACATTATTACTACTATTATTTTTGTTCCAACAGTACTTAGCAGCTTCTGCTGAGATCAGACCCTGTGTTATAAAACAGAAACATACAGATATTGTAAAAGCCATTGTCCAAAAGTAGAGTAGGACATGCTAAATGAGTTCTCCTAAACTGTGAAGCAGATAAGTGATGGAGAGGTTTTGGAGTAGACTCTGTACAGAAATTCTGGCAGCACTTGAATAAATCAAAAAAATCCTATTGATTTCAGTGAAGCTAGAGTTTCCTTGTAGATTTCACTGTTGTGAAACAGATATCCTGTCCTCTGGAGTGCACTGTACTAACCATCCCACCTTCATACCCAATCTCTATCCCTCTAAATAATCTGATTTTGTTTTAAAGAGTAAGTTGCCGCTGGTATGGACTCAGACGCAGACCAATATGATCAAGCTGTAGCCATTCATTATGCCTCGATTACACACTTTTATACAGAGCTCGTGCAGATTTGGCAGCTACTAATTGGATACAATGATTTTGAAATCCTAAAAACAAAGTTACTATTGGCTAACTTTAGTCCTGGGAAAGGGACCTTCAGACATGCTGATTGTTTACCTTCAGTTCCTCCTTATCTCACTTACATTCTGCATAATTGCCTACATTCTCATTCCTTGCTGGTTTTTTCTCCTTTAGTACAAATCAACTAAATGACCATTTTATTCTAAAAAGGTTCCCACAGAAAGTAAAATATCTGAATTAGAAGAGTTAGCATTATACTATGCACCAAAGAGATACATTGGATCACTGTTTTTAAAGCCAAACATTTCAAAACCTACGTTGTACTTACATTGTCTGAAGTTGGACACCAAACTTTCAAAAGTCAGGCACATAATCAAGGTACAAAAACTTAAGTATAGGTTATTGCAATGCAGCTGAGTTACTGTAAATGACCAGGTTCATTATACTTAGTCTGTATTTAGGCCTTGCTTATTCTGCGGCATATATGAAATAAAACCTGTTCACAATAAAAGGTATTTAAATTAAATTATTTGACTTGCATTTGTGACAACCTAAGAACATTCAGGTGAGCAGTTGCTGTAGTTCCCTTGAGTTACAGGGTAAATAAACACACCTGAGTTTAGATTTATCCTGGTATGTTGAGTGTCTAAGTTCACATTAGTGTCAGGGCAGATCTAAGATCTTAGAATAGGGATTTAAATTCATTTTGGCCCTATAAGCCCACTGAAGGAAGGTGGGCTTGGATGCTTCTTCATTAATGCCAGTGGTAAAAATCCTATTGATGTGGAAAATGGCCCCCAAAAAATTGTTGATGACCTACTGAGGTCCCTTCCAACCTGAATTATTCTGTGATTCTGTGATTCTATGATGCAGTACAGTATGATACAAGAAAGTGCAGGTTGTCATTAGGAGGAGGCAGTGACTGATTAATATTTAAGACTCTAATGATTGTTATAAATGTCCAGAAGATACTTATATCATTACAGGTTAGGGGAATTGGGAGAGGATTCATTTAAAAGTTTAGATAAATTTATTTTTGTCTCACTTCCATTTAACCACATAAAAATTAGGGAACTAACCTAACTGTAATCATCTCATCTTCTATATTCTGAAGAGAGGAGGAGGTTCTCCACATATTCAGTCCATCTATCTTCGGCTTATATCTTAGGTTCCACCGTCCCCTTAGTGTGGTGCCTAGTGGTTTTCCACTAGCTGTAGAAGGTGCCTATGTGGCTAGCTCAAACTAAATGCTGAAATTTCAGACAACTGAAGTTATACAGCATGAATTCCAGGCTAAATGGCTGAGACTGCTGTGGACTGTCGTGGACCCTTGCCTCATGAACCTGGTTTGGAAAGTTACTTATCATACAGCTTTTACAAAATTCAGCTACTCTGTTAACAGTCAGTATTTTATTACTGAAGAACTTCTGGCAAATAAAAGCTTGTGCTGTTCTCTGATAATTAGAGACTATGGACATAATTTTTAATGTAGTATCTATCTTGTTACCTTTCTGGAATTGTTGCTATTTGCTGGATCAGGTTTTCAAAGATCAAACTGAGCATATAAAGAGATAACCTACATTGTGTTTCTGTTATAGGTGTGGATTACAATGTGAAAACCATCACAGTAGATAATAGCCAGGTAGTCCTGCAACTCTGGGACACTGCTGGCTGGGAATGGAGAGAAATATTCTGTTCTGTTAGTCAGTTAAGCACTGCACGGCTGGATAGGGGAGAGAATCAGAAGCATGAAAGTGAGAAAACTCATTGGTTGAAATAAAGACTGTTTAATAATTAAAAAAGAAACAACCCACCAACCTCACCACCACCACAAAAAAAAAAAAAAAAAGGCAATAAAGAGGAAAAAAAAAATCAAGAAAAACAAGTAATCCAAAACTTCACTGTGAGGGTGGTGAGACACTGGAACAGGTTGCCTGTGGAAGCTGTGGATGCCCCCTCCCTGGAAGTGTTCAACTTTTCTGACACCTCCTCCTTAAAACCCAAAAAGCCAGAAGGATCGTGAGGCCCCACTTTCACAGTCTGTATTCGTACTGAAAATCAAGACCAAATGAGCTTTTGCCCTTCTGCTCTGTGGGAGGTTTCCATCCTCCCTGAGCTCACCACCAATGAATTAATGCCCAGCCAGTCCTAGATCAACTGCAGCTTCAGCCAACCTCTCTGCCCCCCACAGTTTTGTTGCTGAGCACAAAATCATAATGGCATGGAATAGCCATTTGATCAGCTGGGGACGGCTGTCCCAGGTGTGTTCCCCTCCCAGCTTCTTGTGAAACCCAGCCTAACCACTGGCAGGGTAGTCAGAGAAGCAGAAAAGGCCTTGGTGTTGTATAAACACTATTGAGCAGAAACTAAAATGTTATGTTACCAATACTGTTTTCATCACAAATCCAAAACGTAGCCCCATACAAATTAGTACGATGAAATTTAGCTCTATCCCAGCCAAAGCCAGTACACATTCTAAGGTTTCATCTGTTTGAAGATTAGTAATCATGGACCTAATCCTGCTTCTCGGGAGAAGAGCAAATATAGGAGTATTCCTAATAGAGCCCGTGAAATCACGGTTTATATCCTTTCCTAGCAGCAATAATGTGCCAGTTTGGTGCTAAGTGTCCATTGAAATACTGCCAATCTGTAAAAGAGATTCTTAATAACGCTTTCAGAAGTTTAGTACCACACAATTTCTTTAGGAGGAAGGCTGATTTTTAAATGTACCTGGAATTATTTCTATAGAAGAAAATGCCTTAATAGTTAAAAAGGGGGGTTTTTCCACCAAAATAATCCCATTATAGTTGAAGATCCAAGTTTTTGTAAGTTTTCAGTAGTAATTTCTTTCCCCATCTCCTCACCTATTGTGTAGTTTTCTATTACTAAAAGCAAGGATGATAATTATGACCTAGGTTTTCTACAGGAAGCTTGGGAAAAAAGCCCCAAACAGAAATCTAGCTAGCTTTAGTCAGAGAACTTTGTGAGGGTGAAATTTCTGCTCCAATCTTAAAATGAGAGACTATGGGAAAAGGTGAGCTATGCATCTGATTATCCAGACTAACCCAGAATCAATTAAAGAAGGCAGAAGAAACTTTACCAACAACATTCTTTCAAAAAAAATCTTTTTTTGCAAAGTATTCATCTACTGTTGTAGTAATTTGTGGTAGTAGTGTCCTCCATGAATCTTCTGCTGAATCTGGAAGGGAGTCTGATGATTCAAGAAGAATGGGATTGCTTATTACAATTCATAAGAAGCCTCACCTTTCAAATGGGTTCTGCAGTGAAGATCAGTATTACAGCTTCTCCCTTGTCTAGTTTATGGAATTTTAGAATACATAAGTAAACCAAATTAACAGGGTTAACCCTTATTAAGACTAGATGATTAGAAGAAACTGTATGGAAACATCTTCCTTTGGGGAGGGAAGATTGCTATAAAATTTTACTTATATTGTCAGATTTCTACTTCTGTTGAAGAGACCTATAAATAGGTTCTTACTTCTAGGTACCAAAGTATTACCAAGCAGTTTTTCAGAAAAGCTGATGGTGTCATTGTGATATATGATATAACAGCAAAAGACACATTCACAGCTGTCAAGCAGTGGCTGATAAGTATCAAGGTAACATGATATAACTTTAAATCTAAACTCTGGTCTCTACCTTCTTCTGGACAAGGGCAGGGCAAAGCACAGGGAGCAGCACATTTCTTCTGTTGTCTTAATTACATTTTTGTTAATGATTTTGGTCTGCACAGTTACCAGTAAAGCTGTTTTTAGAATCTCTGTGTCTATGAAAATAATCACAGTTCCAGGGTTTTGAGGACTTAAAATGAGTGATGGGGAAAGTCCAGCATGGAGTCCTCTGATTTATCATAAAGGTTATCTAGCTGATGACTCCCGTTGGCTCACTGGTAGCACTGGAAGGTACTTTGGGTCAGTGGTGATGATCCTGATGATCACTGATCAGCACTAGCAGTTTGACAACCAAGTATGTAGCTCACGGGAATTTTACTGTTTTGTGAACACAAGCCATAAACTTAAAGCTATTGTTATCTACATTAGTGCTATGAAACTGTCTTGGGGTAGAGAGTTCAGTTTCCTGGGGATCATCCTTTCAACCACATAAAAACAAAATCATAGCCCAGGCCACTGAGTGGCTTCAGTTAATTAAAAATTATCTTTTTTTCTCTAGGTATATCTCTGTCGATCATAGACAACATATTGAGAGTGTAAGCAGCTAAATTTGCTTGTGACCAAAAGAAAAAAATAAAAATAAAACCAAGGCTGCTGCCATAAAGGAATGAGTTGCTAGAAAGAACAAAGTGTGACTTCCTTCCTATTTGCTCATTCTTGTAGAGTATTGCTACGGAAAAAGTAGGAGACAGATTGGTATGGAAAGATCGTTTAGTCTGATTTTATTGGGCACCTGTTCTAGTATAATACACTGTTGCCCATAATGGCCAATAGATGGCTTTGCAAGTTGAAATTAGGACTCATTCATTCAAATGTTTCCAAACAGGCATAGTTATTCCTCATATGAATAGCTCTACTGAAGTAATAGTAGCATGCCTTTTTTAAGAACACCCCCTTAAAAATATATGATCTTAACCAATCAGTGATTGTTATAATTCAGTATGGTAAAAGCTAGAGGAGAATTCCAGGTTTTGGTCCAGAAAAACCAAATATTGTCGTCAAAATCTTTTTCCAAGCTGTAGCGGTTCACTCATCTTTACTGACTAATTTTGTTTGCTACAAACTATTGCTAACTTGAAGACAGACAGCCAAGTTCATTTACTGCTGCAGCATTCAGCCCACTTTATGAATGTACTCGTTGTGATAATTCTAACCATTTTCAGAATTAATTTTGCTTCATGGCTATTCTGTGTATTTGGGGGGCCTATTCAGTGTATCTCTCCACTATTTCATGTAATTTATTGGGCATAATTGTACCCAGATGTTGTCATTATTTTCCTGTCCATGTAATTAGAAAAGCAGTGTCTATAAACATGCAATGTCAGAGCCTGTGTAGCATGGTAGCTTTCTCTCTGCCATTTTAATATAGACTCTTATGAGCTTCTGTCCTGTTATTAAAAAATGCCAAGTTACTGCAATCTCTAGCACTTTGTCCTTTTCATGCCTTTTATCCAACTTTAATTCCTGACATATAAGCAAAGCGGCATATACCTGGCTCATACATGATGTCTTAAATGTCTTGTTGCAGTGTGACTTTTGTTAGTTTTTATCCTCTTGATCTGTGATTTTTTAAATACAATGCCTCAGTTGATATTTATTCTTTGTTCTGCAGGAGACAGCTGGGGAGAATGTACCTGTGCTTTTGTTGGGTAATAAAACTGATAATGAAAAGGAATGTGAGGTCTCTTTGGGAATGGGAGAGCATCTTGGTAAGGTGCTATACTTAGAGGGGAACCTCTTACAAAATTTGAAGGTGAGGGTTTTAAAATGGACTCTGAATGTATCTAAATTCATAGAAACACAGATTAATTTTAATCAGACAAGTATTTTTAAGGATTAGGAACCCCATCACACTTATCATTTCAGCTCTCAGTGATGTTAAGTGCTGATAATTATAGTAGTTATAAAACTGTCTAGATAAAAAAAAAAAAAAACAAAAAAACAAACAACCAAACCCCAAACCCCAAACCAAAAAAACAACCAAAAAGTGAAAAAAAAAACAAACAACCAAACCCCAAACCCAAAACCAAAAAAACAACCAAAAAGTGAATGGTGCAAAAAATATTTAAGAATTCATTCCCATTGTCTCTCCTCTCTCTCTCCCCTCTCTCTCTCTTTTTCTTTGTTCTCTCTCTATTTTTTCCCTCCCTTCTCTTTTTCTCTCTTTCATCTCTTTTCTCTGTGGATGGATTCTTAAGAGAGGGATAATTTGGTGACCTTTTCTCCCTCCTACCTCCTGTAAAATTACAGAAGACCATCTGTTACTCCTATGGTAGAAGTAGAAAACATGTTTACTTTTAGTAACTTTCCATCAAGGAGATAAAATAAGTAGAGTTAACAGTCTGCATCTACCAGAGCACATAATTTAAGCATTAAGGGACTGCAAATAGCAGATACTTGTTTATATTAATGTGTACCATGCCCATCAATTTTTCTTTTTAATATCTTTATACAATGCATATAGTTTTAACACCAATATCCCCAGAACATTCATTTATTTAGAAATAAGTCATCCCAATATTCATGAGAAATTAACTAAGTTGGTAGGAGTTTACCTAAATGAAACAATGTGCTGGATTTTCTGTATGTCCTTGTTTCTCCTTTGAAAACAGATTTACCGCTCTGCTTCTGGTAACCAAAAAGGATGTTTTCAAAATTTTAAATGCAGCTGAATTGTTCTTGTTTTATAGGAAAGATTGCTGCTAGGCACCTCTGTATAACTGAAATAATTAGGGCTAGATCTATTTTTTTCTTATTTTGATTATTCATACAACCTTTTACAAGCATACCTCCATATTCAGGTTTGTGTCCATTATTTTGTTTTTATAGGGGAGTAATATTAGCCTTGAACTTCATCCCTCAAAGGTTCTCCCTTTAGGAAATCTGCTTTATTTTCTTGTATGCATGGAAATACAGATAGTATTGAGACCCTGGAGGCTAGGAGGGTGTAACATCGAATCCTTCTGTGAAAAAATAAATGACACATAAATGCTAAATGGACAGAGTAGGTGTCTTACATGTCATTTGGCTCTCTTAAAAATTGTACTAGTAAAACAAAGATGAATCATTCTAATACAGAGAACTCACAGCCCATCAGGCCATTGATTCTAACATGTCATGCAAGAAAATAAAACGTTTTGCAAAAGTAAAACAAAGAAAGTTGTCAAATTAAAGATGGTTATGGTCAAATAAATGGATCTGAATGACTCATTTGAATGTTTGAATGTGCTGCCTGAGGTAGGTAAGGAAGGAATGATTAATGACAATGGATTAGTTGAAAAGCAGCATAGCTATAATTAGATTATAACAATTTGCTCGCTATGCTAATAATAACCATGAATTTTAATGAAATATTAATTCTTGCTAAAAAGCCATATAATTCCTCTGAAACCACATACCACTGTCTCTATTAGTGAATGCAATTGAGTTACTCAAAAGTGACCCAAAATCCACAGGACTAGATGCTGAGCTTATACAAATATGTGAAGACAGCCCTGAACCTGTTCTCATGCAAAGAAACAGATTGGCCTGTTGACTGTGAAGTCCAACAGTTTTTATGGACTGTTTCAAGGTCTCTCAGGATGGGATGTTTTTACCTGTTATTTTAATAGTCAGAGAGGTATGTGTACTTTCAGAGGGCATATCAGCCCTGCTGTATTAACTCTTGCTTTGCTTCAGTCCCACATCTTACAAGTCAGCATACTACAAATTCGGTCAGAAACCCAAGGGCTCCCATTGTAATGCACGTCTCATAACTTCTTTGCAAGGCAGGCAGCATAGGTCATTATTAAAAGGAGGATAGCAGCCTGAAGGTGAAGCGGAAAAACTCCACAACTCATGAAAGTTGTACAGTAGGTATGCAGTTTATTCAGCGCTAAGGCGCATGGGGGATAGCTCCACCAAAGACATGCATGCCTTTTCGCAAAACCTATCCCTCTATTTATTTCCTGAAATGTTACATATGCATTAAGTTTTACAACACATTCATGTGTATTCATTTCCTAGCCCCTCTTCGTATTATAATTAGCTAAAGGGTCCTTCTGCACTTGCGCAGTGCTTTCTGGTGGTCGTATGGTGGTCTACACGATGAAGTAAAACGAATCTTCATCAGAGTGAACTTTTCACCTCGTCTCCTTGCATATGCTCTCTGGTTTCTTGGTCACAGTCCAAAGCACCTAATTCCAGACAGTGTAGGGGTCCTTCCAGGCAGTTTAGGAGTCAGTGACCTTGCAAGCTCTTATCCTGTTTTGATAAGCTGTTCTTTCCCTTATCATCACAGTTTTGATCCTTTCATCCTGTCTTCACAAGCACGGCAAACTTAATAACTTCAAACCCCCTGTCTCAAAGGGAGTCCTTTCAGTTCCTTGTTGTTTGAGAAGACTAGTAGTTGCAGTGCATGTGTGATACCCAGGGAAAGGAGGAATAGAAAGAGGATGGGAATTCTGGAAGGCATCATAGGGAACAAAAAGGCTGTGATGAAGCTGATCGGTAGTTGGATGAACTAAACATCATGATGGTAAGGAGAATTTCACAGTATTGACTTTGCAGGGAGAAACAGCAGGCACAAACCAAAGTGTTCACGTGCAGTACAAGAATGACCTAATGTAAAACATCTAGAACTCTCTTGATAGAGCTGCTGGGAGTATTAAAAAAAAAAAAAAAAAAAAAAAAAGGAGAGAGAGAACAAAAATAGAAAAGCAAAAATTGTGAGCATCCAGGAACAGCCAATGTTCTATTTAAGTGGATTAGTGTACCCACTGACAATTATTTAAATAAAATGGCTTATGATATAGGTGCTGCTCAGGCATTCAGGCAGCATGATTTTATTTTGGTCCTACACAGACTTCCTGAATGATCTCAAATGGGTCAATAAATCCTTCTCTATCTCTGTTCCTCGACTATAAAACAGGATGATAATGCCTTTGTCTGCCTTGACTTTGCAGACTGTGTGCGCTTCATGGGATGAGGACTGTTACAGTGTATTCATACAATGTGCCCTTTATTAACCTGTCAGTGCCATTGTTATACAAATACTGCTAATGAGGGAGCTATTCTTCTCAGAGTGATACTACTTTACAGGACAGAAATTGCCCAGCTCCCTCTGGTAATCATGGATTTTCCTCCCTGTTCTTTAGATGTCTGCTGATTTGTATGTAACTTTTTAAAGTGAAGCAGTTGCCAGTGGTCTCCCAGGTTCAATAACTCATTCCTGGATGGAGATCGATGGCATTTCCTGGCTTATTAGCTATATGTGTCCTGCCTTCTCCTATTTTGTTCTCGTTGTGTATGCTGTCAATTAAAGTTTCCTCCCTAATTCAAAGGAAAGACACTTGGTATTTCAAGGCTGAGTCCCCCTCCAGAGAAGGACCTGTTTGCCAGACTGACAGAAATAAGCAATTAATATGAAATGAGTTTAAATTGTTATCTTTCACCAATAAGAATTTGTCCTACCCATGGAATTTGTTGAAAAATCCCTTCAGATTCATGCCAGCATAAATGTCATCACCGAGAGTTGTCCTCTAGTGAAATCCTGTTGTATGTGGGGAAGATGTAGGAGTAGTATTACTCTCTGCTTGACTGACATGAAGTAGCTATATACTGACCACAGTAGGTTTTCTGTTAAGAGTTCTGATCAGCTGAGCAGAAAAAAAAGAGTGTAAATTTTATTTCAAACTTTTGTATGTGTAGCTAGCAAGAAATTTGAGCTGATCAAATTTTATCTTAAAACTTTCCTAAGGAAAGCAAGAGAATCATGGTGTTACATCATTGTAAATATTATACAAAACACTTTCAAAAAGTCAGTAAAATATTAATCCAGCACTAACATAGTCCGATTTCTTCCATTCTGTGCTCTTCTCTGCTTCTCTGGCCACCCAGAAATTACTACAAGTGGTTCAATCTTGATGTTCATTAGAACAAACCATATGACCATTGACAACATATTTAAAACAGACATTTGATAATATTGAAGCATACTTTAGAGCTGCTAAAATAAACTACCATATTTATGAAAATTCTTTTCCCCACTTTTTGTCTTTGAAATTTCACAGAGATGATAAAAATTTCAAAAAGCTGTGCAATTTTGGAAGCATGGTATATTAAAAAACAAAACAACAAAAAAACCCCACCAAACTTAAATACTTGGTCATTTTAATTAGAACTTCTGAAAATTGAATTGTGTCTTATGAAGAGTGGTTAAATGTACAAATGCAGTAACCACAGTTAATAGCAAACAAATGAAAATATGCAGACATGTGATTGTCATTTCCTAAGCTACTGACTTATTTATTTGAATTTTAAGCTAGTGTCATAAATAGCAAAAAGACACATGTGAAAGGGGAAAGTGAATAGAAAGTTGAAATCTGGATGGGTAAAAGGGCGTGTAGTGACACCATAGAGGCAATGCAGGTGAGCTTCAATGTAATATCTTGTGAAAGTAGTCAGATGTCTATTTTGGAGGGGATAATCTGTCATTCCCTCTCAAACATCTCTTGCCATCACAGCTGCTAGGTCAGGCTTTTGTGCAGATGATCGCTTGTATTTGCATTTATTGTGCTAAGGCTTCATCTGAAGTGCTGAGAATGTCTCCAGGGCTGAGAATGTCTCCAGAATGTCTATTGTTCTTAATTGCAAAGCTCCCAGGGGCTACAAAACCAAGGGCGCAGGGTGACTGTGGAAGAAAGTGCAGAAAAAATTCACAAGTACAAAAAATGAAATAGAACTAATTTGTTGGGTTTTTTTGCTGAGGTTTTTAACTGATCATTTGCTGAAAAACGTTGGACTCAAACTGTTGAATACAGAAATGCTGCTGGTGAAGCTTTCCAAGATTAAAAATAAAAAGTCAATGGAATTATTTTCACCTGCTTTGTCAAGCTCTCAGTGATGTACTAATTGCCTCATCATCACAAGGAGAGTTTACAAAACTTCAGTACCTTACAAGGCATGTTTGAGCCTTTGGAAGATCAAGCTCTTACAGTAAAAGCCACAGTACAGAACAAGTATCTGCTAAGAAATGCACATAGTTGTTGTTTGGGAGGTACACCTGGACTTTTCTTTTGTTACTCTTTACTATTAGGTATAGAATTAAATCCCAATTTGCCCTAAGATGATATATATTTTTTTTATTTGCATAATTCAGTGTATCTGTTGCTTTTTTGAAAGCTGGAGTGAGATATTCTGCAAAATTAACTTAAATTGTTTTTCTGTTTTATTCTAGGATTACAATTTAATTTTCTATGAATGCAGTGCATGTTCTGGGTACAGTACCAAACAGTCTGTGTTTCACTTAGCTAGGTAAGAAGAAAACACTACGAGCTGTATGCATGCCTGAGCTGCCTGTCACTGATGAAAGAATTAATTCTGTTTGTTAAATTAGTTTGATAGGACCTGATGGTGATCTGTTCCTTTTAGACTGGTGTAGGGGCACTTTGTGCTGAAGTAGAATTTTAGCTATGATACTAACTTTAAGCTTTGTAATTATAAGGTTGATAAAGGATCCTGGGAAAGAAGAAAAGCAACCAGATGTGCAGAGGCATCCAATTATACAGGACGTGAGAAAGATAAGGAGGAACTGACAGAACTTAATTAGCACAACTAAGTTATTTTAGAGGTTGTGTTGACATAGCTTCGAAGGTTACATTCCCAGGATTGAAAGTAGCCAATAGTGATTTTGTTGTTAAGAATTTTGAATTATTGTATCCAATCAGTAGCTACCAAATCTGAAAGAGTTTAGTATAAAAGCATGTGCGCAACACACAATAAATGGCTTTCACTTTCGTCATAATTGGCTCGTCTGGGTGGTGTCCAAGAACTTCGCGAGCGGACTGCTAAGAGCCCCTCGCGCTGATTACAAAGGACTCCGCCGGTCGACTACAACTGCTCTGTACCCCGACCCTATTGCTCCAACTGAGCAGTTGCTCAGGTTCATAAAGAGCCCTGTGTAAGCTAGCGTAGCTCTGTATAGACCCAGAAACACCTGAAATGTTGCTAGGAAAGCTGAGGGCCTGGCATATTGTGATAGTTCTTGCAGAAAGTTCTTGGAGGACTGGAGAAATATGCTTGAAAACGGATGCTGCTGAGTCCTTGCAGCAGAACGTTGGATATACTTCTTTCTTCCCTCTGCTCACTACAGCTTAAATTCTGCTGTCTGCCTGGGGGCAGGGAGAGGTGGATTTCTGAAGTTATTGTAAAGGGTAGGGGTAAAAATACAGGTAAATCTGTCCCCTCTGAACTACTTACAGAGGTGAAAACACTGGGAATGAATTGGCAGATCTTTAATATTCTAACAAATGAAAGTCACTGGTTTGAGTCTCTGTAATATACTACAAATGCTAACAAATCAGCACCCACATTTTTCTAACTGAGTGAAGAAAGGCAGTTTTGTGATGGAGCCACCGTAATTGTACTTTGTGTTTGTTTGTGTGTTAGTTCTTAAAATTCTGACATTTTCTATTAATCTCCAGACAATTTTATAGGCTAGGGGAAAATGTTTTTTTGTTTTAACCTCTTATGGTTGTTATTGACCTTTTTTTTCAAAAGTATTGTTTCTTCCCCCCAGGATTTTAAAGGACATGAAGACAGAGTGAAAGAAAAAAACATTGAACTTCAATCTGATATGAACAAAAAGTCTTGCTGTATCAGGCCATAAAATGCTGGGGCGTGTTTAGACAAGTCATACATTTATACTACATGGTGCTACATGGCACCATCAGATTTGCTTTATCTTCCAAATATTTCTTCTGCTGTGTTCTAAGTGAACCTTAAAATCCTTGTATGCTTTGATCTTCACTTTTACAAATATTGTCTTTAGTTATTTGACAATGTATTTGGGGCAGTAACAGTCTTCTATTCTGTTTCAAGCCTAACACCACTGAATCCTGCTTTGTGATCAGGCTTGTAGAAGCTTCCACGTTATTAATAATAAATAATTTTATAGGAAGAAAACTACTTGTAATGAGAAGTAAATGCTTACTGGTGTGGGTGAGCTGTCTTCTGAATACTTCTGTTTACTGCATTGCTCTTTAGATCCTGATTTTGTGATGACCTTTGTTAGAGTTTTTTAAAAATTGATGTAGGTAGCTGGTTGGTTGTTTAAAAGCACCACACCAGCAATTTTGTGGTATTTTATACCTTAGTGTGAAATACAGATGAACAAAGGATTGAAGAACTATGAATATTTTAATAAGTAGCATTAAGTCGTTTACACTACACATTGTTGCATATAGGTCCTTGATAAGAAACCCTTCCTTCCACTTAAATGTAATGAATTAGGTACGTTTAGACAGGTCACTGAAATACCATACAGGCTTGCCTGAGCTGTTGCCCAATAAGCTGGCAGGTGAGCTGGTGCTATGCAAATATCTAGCTTAGTTTCCAGAAACAGTAAAGTCATGGTAGTGCAGTGCTTTACTCTGGCTAGTTAACATTGCACTCAGAGGGCTAGTTAACATTGCACTCAGAGCAAATGAGCCTGCACTCTTCACCATATTTGACATGGCTGTATTGCTTTGTATTGTGGAGCTTGCTTTCAACCTCTGTTTGGCTGTGGTGTCCTACAGAAGTCCCAAAGCAATTTGTGGCCAACTTGGAATGTTCAAAATCAATTCACTGTCATTAGAGCTGGTTGAAAACACATACATACATGGCAAGCTCACTTCACTGGTGGACTTGGTTGTAGTACAAAGCATATTATGGCTGAACAGCTTTGTCTCCAAAAGTCTATTACAGAAGGTTTCATGCCAGAAGTTGGAGCCAGAATTTTCAGAAATAGTAGATCTTCTTTTGAGGAAGATCTTGAGAAACTTTCCAGCACTTAAGGAGTGAAAAACCTCACCAAAACCCAGTGAGACATTGCTCTCATAAGTGATGTTAAGAAAAAATTCCTCCTCGTGTACCTAAATATGTGACTGTTCTTTCAAAAGCATATGCCACACAGCATTTTCCTTTGGTGGGGCCTGATAGCACTGAGATACAGTGTTTGAGAAATCATACATTCAGAAAATCATGGCCCACCCTGGATCATGAGAAATCCAAATGTCATAATTACTTTTGGAAGCCTTTGTAGAATATAAATCAAAATAAGAAACTTCAGAGTGGGTCACCCAGTCAGCATACGATCAACAATTATTCCTGTTGCTATATGTCTTCACTGCATCCAGCTGTTGTGGAAGGCATTAAAAAATGGTTATTCATGACGGTAAGGTCACTGGGAAAGTGGAACCCATGGCATAATTTGCTTCATTAAAATATCAATCAAAACCATAGATTTTATTATATGGGACTTACAGACATGTTTTTTTAATCCATTTTCTAAATGTTTCAGAAAAGTTATTTTCCATTTGAATAATTAATCCATTTGAAACTGAGGGTGAAAGTTAAGCACTAGTTCAATAAGTAACTCTATTTTGGGATAAAACCTTGATCAGTAATTAACTGTTCTTGGGATTTTGGTCTGATCAAAGATATTTATCTAGTGGCAAGAACTATACAACAGAGGTTTGAAAACTTTCTCCATAGCAATTCTTATATCCATACCAGCACTCCTATGAGTTGGGATCCAAACATGATCCCTTTCCCTATCAAGTAAAATAACCAGGATTTTCCTTCTATCAGGAATGATGGATGGACCAAACAGCCTAGGTTGAGCTGATGCTTAGGGTTTTTTCCCTTGGTTTTTTTGGCCCATTGATTCCTGAGAGTCTGCTTATCCAAATGAAAAAAAAAGCCTCCCCTTGCTTCCACTGAAGTGCTTAAGAACCCCTAAAACCCAAAGGAGCAAAATGAGCTAATTAATGAAAATCAGTAGGCTTTCTGTTCACTTCCCATGGTTTGATTCTTGAAGTCCATTACTGGTTGTGGAGGGATGAGTCACCTTAACGACTGTTACATGTTATGGAATTCTCAGAATTGAATCACCTGTGTTCAGTCCTGGCTGGAATTGAACTAATGCAATTCCCTAATTTAAACCTCAAAAAACCAACTGTATATCCCCATTTCAATTAGGGAAGAAGTCTTATCAGTTTAAATATTGGCTTTGCTAATTGACTTTGAATGATCTGTTCCCCTGCATTAGCGTGTTTCCTACTCTGTCAATATCAGAACTGGCAATATTTCCTCCACCCTCTGTCAGCCTCAGGAAGACAGTTTGGAGGCTTAATTTCACCTTTATGGCCACTGACTCTAGCTCCACAAAACTCCAAATTCATATCCTTAATTTTCCATTACCTGAAGTTCATCTTGATTTTTGGAGGAAAGTGAACAAGTGAGGTGGAAGTTCTTTATGTGACTTCTACGGGATCATTTTTATTTGGACATCTTTTAGTGTGCACTGAGACCCTGCTAGCAGGATATACACTGCTTGAGGGTAGGCAATGATAAGGAGCAGCTGAGTCCTGGAATTAAGGGGATTTATTTTTCTTCATCTGCTAGAGGCAAATCCCGTGCAGCCTAAGACCCAGGAGGTGTCTCCAATCTCACACTGACAGCTGTGGCTGCTGCTGTTCCTTTTTGTAAGCTCAGCCAATATCCAGGCTGAGTACATATTGCAAAGACACAGATACACACACAACACTGTCATCAGACACACAGATAACACAGAGAGTGGTGTCTTCACTGCTCATCACTGACACAGACACAAATAACATTCCCATAAGTACAAACAGATAGCCCAATCCTTCTCTTGCTTTCCAACGGATCAAGATTGAAATTTGCTAATGAAAACATATGCGTACTCAACTCCTATGACCTGCAGTGCTCTCTCCCCAGGATCATGCAGAAATTTGTCAGAAATAAGACTTAATAAAAAGACTGGATAGCCTGCAGCTATGGGGTGTCAATGAGATAAACTCTGAGCAGCAGCTTGCTTACATGTAACTGGCCCCTTTTATCCTACCTCTCTCTTCATTTTTTTCCCATGTTTGTCCTTCCACCATCCACCTTGGCCCCTCCCTTTCTCTGCCCTTCATAGCCCAAAGAAACAACTTGCCCCTTGTTGTTTTTTCTCTATTACTCCAAGTTTTGCTACACCTGTACCCACACACATTTTATATTTCTTCTACCATTACCTAGGTCACCTTGGCACTTCTGCCATTACCTAGGTCACTTAGCTGCTGCTGTCCTTGCAAGTTTCCACTCCTGAAAGAGTCCCTACTATTCCCTTCCAGTTATCTGTGAAGTCAGTAATGAAGGTATCATATAACTCCTCCTTAACCACCTGTGAAGGCCAGCTATTGCTTACAGTGCTATCTGTAACTTTTATCAGCTGCTCACTCCATTATTTATTATATTCAGGGTTTCTTGCATCATATCCAGAGTTTCTCATGGTCTGTTTGGTTAGCTAAACCTCAGGCCAGGTCCTATTCATCTGTCTGCACACCTTAATAAAAAGCAGCTATTTTTTGATTAATGCTCACGGAAGATAGGTATGACTAACATGGTACAAGGCTCTACTGCTGGCCAGGTGGTCATCCAACTGGTGTGGGAATTGTCAGCTTCCAGTGTTCCTTGATGCTGATACTTTGTGTTGCTGGGTTGCTGTTTTCTGTCTCTCCACCAGGGTTTTATACCTCCTGTCAGTATTTTTCTCAGATCCATCAGAAAGCTAATACTGGCTTAATAGCAAGGAAGGTTTCTTTTTCTCGCTTTCTCTTTCCACTTTTGAATTACCTTTAGCTTGCTCACAGCCCCCTTCTCCTATCCCCCAAAAGCTTTTTGGTAAAGATAAGCCAAGATAATGGTGCAGCTGTGCATCATGAAACTGGACTCTGGGTCATGAAATCTTCTCTTGTGATTTATGTAGAGATTTTTTGAGTTGATGATGTCTTTGTATGAAAGAGAAATTATTCAAAAGGTAGTAGGCAGAGGAATACTGAGCAGGAGTGTATTTCACCTATTCCTGTTACACTCTGAGAGGACAAAAACATCTTCATTTAGAAGTGACGAAAATGCTGTTACAGAAATCTTTGAATACAAGTATCTGCAATGCTACAGAATGCTTTAGCTACAGAATGTTGGTTTGTTTCTTCTGTCAGACTATACCTAATAGTCTTTGGACAAAATTCATAGCTGGTGTACGTTTGGTGACTGTAATATCTTTTTTTAGGGATGTGTATTACTCTTGAAAATTTCCCTTATGTTGTGGTTTAAGGCCACCCAGCAACTTAATACCATGCAGCCTTTCTCTCTCTCCCCTCCCCTCCAGTGGGATGGGGAGGAGAATCTGAAAAAAACCCAAATGGTAAAAGCCTCATGGGCTGAAGCAAGGACAAGGAGGATTCACTCACCACTTATGGTCACGGACAAGAAACAGACTCACACAAAACCAATTTAGTGTGTTAACAATCAAAACCAGAATAAGATAAGAGAACTACATCTTAAAAAGGCACCTCTCCCCCACCCCTCCCTTCTTTCCAGGCTCAAAGGCTTTGTTCCCAGTTTCTCTACCTTCTCCCTCAGCAGCACAGAAGGGCAGAGAATGGGGGTTGCAGTCAGTCCATCATGTGTTGTGTCTGCCACTCCTCAGAGGAGGACTCCTTGCAGTCTTCCCTGCTCCAGCATGGGGTCCCTCTCATGGGAGAGCCCTTCACACACCACTTCAATGGGAGTTCTTCCCACGGGCCACAGTTCTTCACTACCTGCTCTGGCTTGGGT